TATATATATATATATATATATATATATATATATATATATATATATATATATATATATATATATATATATATATATATATATATATATATATATATATATATATATATATATATATATATATATATATATATATATATATATATATATATATATATATATATATATATATATATATATATATATATATATATATATATATATATATATATATATATATATATATATATATATATATATATATATATATATATATATATATATATATATATATATATATATATATATATATATATATATATATATATATATATATATATATATATATATATATATATATATATATATATATATATATATATATATATATATATATATATATATATATATATATATATATATATATATATATATATATATATATATATATATATATATATATATATATATATATATATATATATATATATATATATATATATATATATATATATATATATATATATATATATATATATATATATATATATATATATATATATATATATATATATATATATATATATATATATATATATATATATATATATATATATATATATATATATATATATATATATATATATATATATATATATATATATATATATATATATATATATATATATATATATATATATATATATATATATATATATATATATATATATATATATATATATATATATATATATATATATATATATATATATATATATATATATATATATATATATATATATATATATATATATATATATATATATATATATATATATATATATATATATATATATATATATATATATATATATATATATATATATATATATATATATATATATATATATATATATATATATATATATATATATATATATATATATATATATATATATATATATATATGGGGCGGGGAATATCCGTAGAGTTCGTGCGCGGTTGTGCAAGGTTGAAACAGGGTCACCACCATTGCCGCAAATGATATGAATGCGATGCTAGAGCCATGGCATTTTGGCGTTGATTTAGAGTTAGGAATTAATGATTAACTATATATCATGATGTAAGGATTTATATTAAAAAAAAAAACTCGTAATACCACTATGGTAATTATCAGTTGAAGGGAATATTCGTTTTCATTTAAGGAAGGAGAATGTATTTGTTGAGTTGTTTCGGTTACTGGGTGCGCGTGTCATTTTATTGGTATTGGGGAGGGAGGTAGGGTGAAAAGAGAGGGAGAGAGCGAATCATAGAGAGAAAGATAGATAGAAATAGAGAGAGACGGACATAGAGAAGGGGAAAACAACGGAAGAGAGAGAAAGAGAGAGAGAGAGACAGACTGACAGACAGATAGAGAAAGAGAGAGAGAGAGACAGAGAGAGAAAGAGAGAGAGACAGATAGACAGAGAGAGAAAGAGAAAGACAGACAGACAGACAGCGAGAGAAAGAGAGAGAGCGAGAGAGAGAGAGAGAGAGAGAGAGAGAGAGAGAGAGAGAGAGAGAGAGAGAGAGAGAGAGAGAGAGAGAGAGAGCGAGAGAAAGAGAGGGGAAAGGAGAGAGAGAGAGCCGAATATCGATGATGTAGAATATCGAAGTGCAAGATTGATGAGTCAGTTAGCGGCGCATGATGCATCGGAGAGCGAGCGTAATCCCGTCGGCCTTTCCATCACAGTTATTGATTTTTTATTTCATTTGACTCTTTCCCTTCGCGCGGTAGAGGAACTGGAGGCATTTTTGGACTGAATTGAATCCAATTCCGTTTTGTCGCCCCGTTGATAAAGACCGAGGCTGGTGAAGCTTGGATATAGTCACAGTGTGTCTATATAATGCATATATATGTGTGTGTGTGTGTGTGTGTGTGTGTGTGTGTGTGTGTGTGTGTGTACACATATATACATACATACATACATATATATATGTATATATATATATATATATATATATATATATATATATATATATATATATATATATATATATATATATATATATATATATATATATATACATACATATGTACCATCGTCATCATCAGCCCGTAATATAACTTTGCAGGTAAATAAATCCGCATTGTGTCCCCCTCGCCTGCTCCGCCGTCCCGCAGCAACCCTCCCCGGCCGTCCTATCGCGCTGAGCAGCGAGCCTGATTGTGTTTGTGGAAAAGACGAGTCCATCGCGGTGTGACTAATGGTGATAGTGACGCCATACACGACGGGCTATGGTGATGTTGGGGAGTTGTATCGCCGGCGTTATTGGTGGTGGGGTGGACGGGGGGAGAGAGGCGGGGGAGGGGTGTGGGTGGGTGGAAGAGGAGGAGGAGGGGAAGAGCGGGAAGGTAGGGTGAGGTAAAGAGAGGAGAGGAGAGGAAAGGAAAGGAAAGGGGAGAAAAGATAGTCAGGTGCTGAAATGGTGCGAGAGACAGACAGATATATGAATGTAGACAGACAGATAGACAAAAGGAAAGACAGAGTGAGACAGAGAGTGAATGAGTAAGAGTGAGAAGGAAAGAGAGAGTGACAGGTACATATGGCCTAAGACAGATAATCAGTCCATCAGGGAAAGAGGAGAGAGTGAAAGAGAGCAGAGACAGATAGAGATAGAGTTAGACGGAGAGAGAGGGGGGGGGGCAGAAGAAAAATAGAGAAGGGAGGAGGCAGAAGAGAGAGAGAAAGAGAGAAAGAGAGAGAGAGAGAGAGAGAGAGAGAGGGAGAGAGAGAGAGAGAGAGAGAGAGAGAGAGAGAGAGAGAGAGAGAGAGAGAGAGAGAGAGAGAGAGAGAGAGAGAGAGAGAGAGAGAGAGAGAGAGAGAGAGAGAGAGAGAGAGAGGATAGGCGCAGAAGAATGAGAGAGAGAGAGAGAAAGAGAGAGGGGGTAGGCGCAGAAGAGAGAGAGACAGAAAGAGAGAGGGGATAGACGCAGAAGAGAGAGAGAAGAGAGAGAGGGGGAGCGTTGGAAAAGCAGAAAATGCATCTCGTCAAGTGAGGAAGCAAGACAATAGGTCCCGGATCTCTTGCGGAGAAGCAGCGCTGTTGCCATGATCATGCGCGTCGGTGCGAACGAGGCGAAATGTTTCATTTTCGTTTTCTATTTTTATCCCTTTTTTCTCGTGGCGTGAGGTTTGGAACGACATAAAAGGAATAACCTGTCCGGAGCATATCTCGCGCTGCCTCGCCGTTCTATACAAGCGGCAAACAAGCGTGAAACCGGGTTGGCTTGTTATGATGGCGGGATCATTAGCGCGCCACGCCATTCCCGCCCCTCGCGTGCCCGGACGGAAGGGCCAGACTGGCTTCCCCCGCCTCTGGTAATTGTGCCGGGAGTATATTTGAGAATGAAGTTCAAATCGACATGAAATCTCCCACGGTGGCTTTGGCGAGGTCTCGGGTCCGGGGGCGGCATAGGATGGCTTCCCGGACTCGGGGATAAGTCGGCTTGTCATTTAAGTCATATCTCAGATGTCATACCATCCTCTGACCCCTCCCCTGCCCTCCCCCCCCCCCAGCTCCTCGCTTTCCATCCGTCCATCCTAGCCTTCCATCCTGTCCTCCTCCTCCTCCTCCTCCCTCTTCACCCCCCCCTCCCCCTTCCCCTCCTCCCGTGGTCGTAACTTTCTGATATGGTGCCTTGCATAATCTTCCCTTGGGCGTGTGTGATAGACTTGGTGCAGGATTTTATATATATATATATCTATGGGTCGTAACCTCTTGATTTCTTGTTGTTCTTGTTACTGCTGTGGTTGTGGTATCGCTATTATCGTCGGTACTCTTGTTTTAGTAGTATATGCTACTCTGTCTTTCTCCTTTCTCTATCTCTGTCTCTCTCTCTCTCTCTCCCTCTCTCTCTCTCTCTCTCTCTCTCTCTCTCTCTCTCTCTCTCTCTCTCTCTCTCTCTCTCTCTCTCTCTCTCTCTCTCCCTCTCTCCCTCCCTCCCTCCATCCCTCCCTCCCTTCCTCCCTCCTTCCTCCATCTCCCTCCCTCCCTTCCTCCTTCCTTCCTTCCCTCCCTCTCTCAATAAATACTTAAAAAAGGGGACGGAAGATGGTACAATGAGATAAGAAGAGCGCAACAATGGCTGTGAATAAATTATCGCTTGCGAATATTCTTTGTCTGACCTCCGCCTGTCTTCCATGGCGAGAAGGGAAATCCATATTTCACGGGGATATTAATTCCTCCTCCCTCTCGTGTGTGTTTGTTTATGCTTGCGTTTGTGATTGTTTGTTTATGTGTGTGTGGGGTTACTTTGTTTGTTCGGTGTGTGTGTGTGTGTGTGAATGTGTGTGTGTGTGTGTGTGTGTGTGTGTGTGTGTGTGTGTGTGTGTGTGAGTGTGTATGTGTGTGGGTGTGTGGGTGTGAGTGTGTGTGTTTATTCTCCCTCTCATTATTAGTCAGATTTCTTATCACTGTTTACTGATAGCGACATGTTACTCGGGTCTTTATGCAGTCAACGCTTTTGTCGCTGATGCTAAGAAAATAGAACCGCAGTTTTTATTCTCCTTAATGACCTTTTAGATATGTATCTTTCCCTTCGGATTCTTTCTTCCTTTCTCCTTCCTTTCCTCACCCTTTGTTTCTCTCCATCCGCACTTCCCTCCCTCTTTCAGTCCCTTCCTTCATCACTACTTCCTTTCCATCTCTCCTAATCTTCATCCTACCCTCCCACCCAACCTCCCTCCCTCTCTCCCTCTCTCTCTCCCTCCCTCTCTCCCTTCCTCCCTCTCCCCCCACCTTCTCTCCTTCCTTGCCTTCTTTCCCTCCTTCTTTGCCTCCCTCCCTCAATCCCACCTTCCCTCCTTCCCAACCTCTCTGCCAACCTCCCTCCCTCCTTCCCTGCCTCCCTCCCTCCTTCCCTGCCTCCCTCCCAACCTCTCTGCCAACCTCCCTCCCTCCTTCCCTCTTCCCCTCCTCCCCTGCCCCCCTCCCGACCTCCCGACCTCCCTGCCAGCCTAACCCCCTTCGCTCCGTTGCAGAACCTGGAGGACAAGGACCGGAAGCAGACGGCGCACAAGAACCACCTGGCGCGGGAGCAGCGGTTCTTGCGGCGGCGCCTGGAGTCCCTGGGCACGCACCTGACGCCCGCGGGCCTCGACATGGCCGAGGTGATGGGCAAGAGACGCTCCGTGTCCGAGAGCTCGTCCTTATCTTCCGCCTCCACTTCTTCCTCGTCCTCGGGATCCTCTACCTCAGAATCAGGTAAGATTTCGAGGAGGACCTTGTGTATATGTATTTGTTTTGGTTTGTTTTGTTTGTTATTGTTCTTGTAATTGTTATTGTAATTGCTACTGATATTATTTTTCATTATCATCATTATATCTTGTTGTTATTAGTATCATTTTTGTTTGTATTGCTATTGACTATTTTAGAGGGACAAGGAAAATACGTTTGTGAAGAAAGAAAAAGAAATCATATGCCATTCGTGCAAACTTGATGGCCAAATATGCTCAATCTCAAATTTTGAGATAAACTTTAAGACCGTGAATCACGCAGTCAAGGCGAGACGGAAACTGCCTGATCACTAAATTGGGACTCGCTTCTGCTAAAACACACGCACACTCACTCACTCACGCACGCATTCACTCACTCACACTCACTCACGCATGCAATCACTCACTGATTCACTCATTCATTCATTGTACACACACACACACACACACACACACACACACACACACACACACACACACACACACACACACACACACACACACACACACACACACTCACATCCACGCACGCACGCACGCCCCCGCACTCGCTTCCCAAGGGCGTGCGGTGTGATGTTTGGAGAGTCGGCGCGCGCAGTGCGGTCGGGCGGCGTGCGAGCTCCGACGTGCGTGACACCAACTAACCAAGCTTATCACGCAGGCTGTGTCGGGCTCAGGCTCGCCCTCCAATGGATATTCTTCCTCGGCAAGTGGATTTTGCGAGGATTTTTTTCTCTTTTTTTTGTTTTTTCTTTTTCTTTTTCGTTTTCGTTTTCTTTACTTTTTCTTTTTCGTTTTCTTTTTCTTTTTTTCTTTTTTATTTTCTTGTTTTTTTTTCTTTTTAATTTTCTTGTTTTTTTTTTCTTTCTTTTCTTTTTCTTTTCTTTTTCTTTTTCGTTTTTTTAATTTTCTTTTTTTTCTTTTTTTTCTTTTTCTTTTTTCTTCCTTTTTCGTTTTCTTTTCTTTTTCTTTTCTTTTTCTTTTTCTTTTTCTGTTTTTCTCTTCTAGTGGGGAGGGAGGGTATTTTGTTTATTTTTTGCTTTCGTTCCCGTGGCAAGGACATTTAGTTTTTTTTCTGTTACTGAAGCTGAAGACTTAAATGTACTTAAAAAAAAAGTACAGTAAAGCTTTATTCTGTTGACTGAATCCGAACTTTACCGCGAATTAGTACTAGACATGAAAGAGCCCAAAGCCAGGTATTGGATTTCAAAAAGAAAACTGTCCGTTTTGATGTTTATGCCCTTGTTACGTAACAAAGCCTTATTTTAGAGCTAATAGTCTCAAAGTGCCACGCGGGTCAAGCTCTTATGTGGCCGGCTACCCCTCCCCCCCCTCCCCCTCGTCACTGGCTGGGCTGAAACCTCGTTGCTTTTTTTAGTATGAGTGGGACGAATGACTTCACAAAATAAGAGATATGATTTTCGACATTTAGATATTGATTGTTTATTTATCTATTTATTTACATTTGTCACAGTGCCGTCTGTGTCTCAACAAGGCGGTAGTCTGTTTAAGCCAAAATAATGAGAAATGCAAATATGAATTTGAATAACGTGGTTGTAAATTCCAAGATTTCCTTCACGCACATCGACCCTTAGCAGGAAAAAAAGACTCAGAGGCAGAGAGAAGGAGGTGCTGAGCTGAGCGCTGAGCCGCGTTCACTTGAGTCGAGGCGAGAATGGCACTCAGTAGCTCAGAAGTCCTTTTTCCCGCGGGCCATTATACTCCGTCAGCCCCGCCGCTCGCTGCTCCTGACTGACCCACTTCTGCGTGCGATCGCAGTGCCGCGCTCACACCCTTCGCCGCGTAATGAACGGAGTGGAATCGCGGGGCCGTTCAGCTAACACGCTCAGCTGACACGTTCTGGGGAGGGTCTCTACCGTTCAAGGGAGAGCATAAGTCGGTAGCGTTCGAGGAAGAGCATCTGCGGTCAAGGGCGAGCGTTCAAGGGCGGACATGCCTGGCGAGAGCGCTGGCCGTCCGCGTCCTTGATGCTCCTCCGGCCCGAGTCCCCGGCGCGGCTGGCCCTTCCACCTGCCGAGCCCTGTACGGTGACCGACCAAGCCCTAATTGATCGATACGCCACACGTCCCCCGTCGTCTCGCCGCTGTCCGCCCACGCCGCCCACCGCGCCTCACGCCCTCCTCTGCTGCAGCCATACGCATAAGAGAGTCGCCATGGTTACCGTCGCGGTTGTTGCGCAGCTTGTGTGTTGGAGCGTCGTAGAGCTCAAAGCCTACGGCGAAAGATATAACAAAAGTAGTGGTGAGGATTATATCAATCGTGTTAGCAATGATAATGATGATTATTATAGTAATGATAATGGAGGTAATGGTAACGATAGTAACGATAATGAAAATGATGATGATGATGATAATAATAATAATACTAATAATAGTAATAATAATAATAATAATAATAATAATAATAATAATAATAGATAAATAAATAAATAATACATGCACTTCATCACCACGGCTATACCTAATTTTACACTACGGCCAGTTCCACAGCACATGGTTGTTGCCAATTGGAAATGACATTCGACTGCCATGTTCTCCATTGAGCGTCATTTGCAGATATGGAGGAAATCGTTTTTTTTTCTTTACCTTTCCACTCGCTCCCTCACTCTAAATGCTCATTCTGATTGAGGCTCACACATTTACGATAAAACATGTCACTCACTCTAAATCGCTAGTCGTTCCCTTTCAGTCACCCTTCGCTTTAAACACCACGTCACTCCCCTTTTTTTCTCTCGATATATATATGTATAAATATATAATCCTTCACTCTATCTTTAAGGCACCCTGCGCCGACTCTAAATCACTTCTTCATTCTCTGTCACTATATCACCCTTCATTCACTGTAAGTCACCCTTCACTCTATAATGACCCTTCCCCCGCTCGTAATCACCCCTCACTCACTCTTAATAATCACCTTTCACTCACTCTAAATTAATCCAATAAGTCATCCATCCTTGGCGGAACTTCCCGGTCTTCCTCCTCCGTGAAAATAGACGCATCTCTAACACACTTCGCTCACTTCAGCGGACTTCTATAAACACTTTTCGACACCAGAACCGACATCGCACACGAGTGGAAAGATTGCCGCCAGCGCCATCTATCGTGTCCCGTCGGAGTTATTGGAGTAACGCGGGATTTAAGGCAAAGATTCACCCGCGGAGCCTTTATCGTGGTCACGCTCGAGTGCATGACGGCTTTGTCTTCCTGCTCCTCGAGATATTTGGTGACGGTGTAATCTTTCTCTTACTCATTCCCCTCCATCTCTTCCTCCTCCTCCATTTCTATTTCTCTGTCTCCCCCTCTGCCTCCATCACCCCTTTTGTCTATGCCTCCTCCTCCTCTTCCTTTTTTCAGCGTAACACTTGAGTGCCTTGTTATTTATATTTATCATCGTTTTTCTTTCTTCTTGTTGACGGGCGCAAAGGCCTCACCTAATCCGTCGCCTGCTACTGTCACAGCCCCAACCACCGCCATTATAAACGTTCGATATCCCTTTGCGAGCGTGTGTAATAAATGGCGTGAGAGAGGGAAAGCAGGAGGAGGACCCGGGATGAGTTATGCGCCGGCGGGTGGTCGTGGAGGCAGCGGCTGGGGCTCCTCGCCGTCGCCACCTGCACAGATGGCTCGCCGGCGTCCCGCGGGATGTGTGAAGGATGGCTTGGCACTTCTCCGGCCTTATGTAACGCGGGACGACGTCGTTCCTCTCTATATACAGTCTTGAACCCCTTGACAGTATGTTGAGCTGCCATTGCTGCGGGGCGCCCCACGGCTCGCCTCTTGGGAAATGTTAGGGCCTTGTGATCGTCGGTTGATCGGGGGGAGGAAGCTTTATATTGCATTTGCAAATGACTTCCGGGCGGAGCAAGACGAAGAGGGTCAAACCTACATTCCTTTCGCCTCCTAACATAACACACGAGGAAGAAAAAAATCACGTTGAATGGGGGTAAACCAATGTCATTTGAGGCCCTGAGAGGAGAGAGCGAGTGGGATGGTTTTGCAGCGACGAGTGCATGAGGGCCGTGGCAGTGTGGAGCTTGCGGAATGTAAGAGTGGCGTGGGGCGCGTGTGGGATTGCATGACGTTTCAGCGCTTCAGCCGGTCATTACTCTTTTGCATTGCACTTTTCAGGTGAGCTGCTCCAGGATCTGTCTTCCGTGCTGGGGGCCGCCTCGTCACACAACGCTGAAACCGGTGAGTGCCTGAAATCTGGGGCGTTTTAATATTCTTTATTTGTCTCTTTCTTGTTTCCTTCGATTAATTCTTTGCTCTTCGAGTTATTTTTCCCCGAGTTATTAAACCTCGGCTACGGCGATGATTTAGAGAAAATTAGTGTTATTACCGATGAGAAAGTCGGTGAATATGAACACAAAAAAATGTATTATAAAATATAACACAGAACATATCAGACAACTCACATACAAGAGATATAGGAGTAAAGGAAATTTATGTTGAATGTACAGGTCATATTCGCATGGTCGG